CTTTTTAATTTTTAGGCCCAAAGGAATTGATTTCCTAGCAGTAACTCTTATTTTTGGACCCCTTTTAATTGGTTTTGTTTTTGGCCCAAATATTTGAATTTCCTGAATTGATGCTTCAACGGTATTGTTGCACAGGTTGTCTTCTCCGGTGACGGGAGTCGGCGACCACACACTGAAATTCGAACTTTGTGGATCAAATTTTTGTTGTTTTTCATAACGAATTTCACCGCTATAATCAAAATTCTGTAAAGAACAAGATGGTGCCAATTTGGAGACCCAATTTGAACCGAAAAATATTTTATAAAATTGCTTCCAATGGTACAATTCGGCTTCACTTTCGGCAAGGTTCGGAACAATAGCACCACCAACAGTTATTTTCTTTGGATAGTTTTTTGGTAATACAACACGTTGGTGATGATTAAATAAACAAACGGAATTCACCAATGCTGAAGATTGACGGTCAATAATTTTTTGAATTTTCGGTAAAAAGAGTTCGTAAACTTTTCTTTCTTCTGGACTATATTTCGACATTTGTGATAATGTGTAAACCTGTTCTGACACCACTATAAGATTAACTTAACAATGGCTAAATGATCGGAATTCCCATGAGGGTATTTATTACGCAAGATGGAATCAACAATCCGGAAGCGAAATTGTGTCTATATATGCTGGTTATTCAATGGTTCTAAAAACTTGTGTATAAAGAACACATCCTGCTATTACTTTTATAAACTTATGGCAACCATTGCCAAAGGTCACAACCTTTGGATACAAAAATTAACAGCCACAATTGTCATGAAACAATGTGTCCATGGTGTTCAAATTCAAATACTTAACCTACCATATTGTTCCATTTCCTTGCGGGAAGGAATACATTAGCCATTGGATTTTAATCAAGTATGCAGAGACACGCCACATTATGGTATGGTCACACTTAATCTAACAAGATTAGCACAACGGTTGGCTTTTGTAATTATTTTCTTTATCTTGTTTGCATTTTTTAATTAAAAATCTTCTTAGGCCTTTACGTTAAAATCTCATGAACGGATTAAATATTCATTAAAGAAAGGTAACTCAAAAACAAAACATTAAATTAATTGACTTTTAAGCCAAACCAAACAAGTGACAAGGTTAATTAATTTGGAAGGCATTTGTTTATGTGAAAATGACTCCAATGGCATAGACGCCATCTGATATGTTATTGCAAACTCTCATTTATTCAACGGCTCACATCATATGTCTTGCTTGATTTGATTTAGATTTAATTTTTTAAATTATATTTATTAGAAGATCGATAATTTTTTTTAAATTGTAAATCATTTTTTTTGACAATGTTATTTTTGTTATTTGTAATTTATTATTTGATTGACCTTTTAAGGTCTTGTTAATTTTATTTTCGACTGCATATTGTTTGTTTTATTTTAATATAATTACATTTTGTATTTCTCAATAAAATAAAATAAATAAATAAATAAAATGGTTCGCACCCCAAATGGTATAATTCGATAAGGATTGACCTCCTTGTGTTGTGGCTCATACAATCCAAGCTATGTGGGCCACTAGTCAAAAAACCACTCTTGTTGAATTTTTTTTCTTTTTATTTTTTATTATAATTTACAAATGTTAAGATAATTACCTTAAATTTGACAGTTAAACGTTTAGAAAAAGCCAGCAATACATGCACTCAACATTAATAACTACTACATACTGTAATACCCAAAAAAGGAAGAAAAAAAAAACTATAACAAGTAAAAAACAAATATGTTTCGAAGTTAGTTTGCAACTAAATAAATATAAAAGTATAAAATAGGCTAAATAAGTTAATAATAAAAAATGTTATATCAAATTATAATTATTTTATTTTTTTTCTCTCACAGTCATCACATTCAAACAAAAAACAATAAAAAATTCCTTTTTTAGTTGGAGTAAATTCATCAAATTTTTTAAAAGATAGGCTGAATTAGCTATTTTCAAATGAAGGCTAAAGAAAGAATTGGGAGAAAAATAGTCAATCCTTTATGAAAAATTGCTAATGAGATTAGCCAAATTAATTGAAGGATTTACATTCAAGTCTAACAGTAAGTGACACATGATAGGACCACGTCAATGACCCTGTCTGGTATGATTTATTTCTAACTTATTTTAGTTTTTAGTTTAATTTAAACTATTTTAATGTGTTTGATTCAACTTAACAATACAACTTATAGTTTTTTGTAAGTTAAAAATCAACTTATTCTTTGAGTGGGGTAGGAGAAACTTAATTCATAAGTCAAAAATCAGCTTATGTTCACAGTTATAAGCTATAAGCTGTTAAGCCATAAGCTATAATCACTTTTCCACAGCTCTATTAAACGGGGCCAATGGATTAGACCATCCAATCTAACCACATGATAGGACCACTTAGGCCTATTTTGGCAACATGGTTTGTAGTCACTTTTTTTGGTTAGTAGCAAAAGCTAAAAGTTAGCTTTTTTGTCTTTTTTTTCATTTGGAATGTTAATTTTTAGCCAACGGTGAAATTACAATTTTACCCCTCATGGCTCAAAATGTGTTACATAGGTGAAGTTGCAAATATTTTAAATAAATGGGGATAGTTTGATCATTTTATTATGATTTGACATCATAAACAAATATTAATAAAAAAAAGTCAAAAGTCACTTTCTACCAACTTCCTAAATCATTTGTCTAAAAAGCCCAAAAGCTTGGTTAAAAGTCAAAAAGTCACTTTTTACCATCTTCCCAAAACAACCCTTAGACATTGTTTGGGAAGTGGGTTTGGATAGATTTAGGACTAAAATAGTCACAAAAAATAAAATAAATTTTTTAGTCCTAATAAGACAAAATATCACATCCAACTCATAATTATTACATTCTTTCTCTTACAAAAAAGTCAAAAAAATCAAAAATTCTTCTCAAATCAAGTTTTTTAGTCCCAAATTAAAATAATCCAAAAAATTAAAAACTAAAAAATTAACCCACTTTCCAAACCAAGCCAACTAGGCTAAAACATACAATCCGACTCTTGGTACACATTATTTTTGATAAATGACATACTCCTATGTTTGTTGGAATGGAGAGAATTAAATTGAGAGAATAGGAATTAAATTACCAAGAATCACACCGGTCAAAATAAATGCTATTCGTATGCCTGACTTAGTTATCGATTCTCCATCTAAAATTCATAACATTTTAAATATTGTAGCCTCAACCAACCTTGGGCCACGTTTGGTAAGGAATTTTTTTGCTAAATTAATTATAAAAAAATAAAATAAATTAAAAGTTAATAAAACAAAATATTACATCTAAATCATAATCATTTTTTTTTCTCACAAAAATAAAAAAAAAATCAAACCAAACAAATTTTTAGTCCTAAGTTAAAAGTTGACTTTTTAATTTTTTTTTTGGTTTTTTTTAAAAAAAAATAAAAAATAAAGAAGTAATGTTACTAAAAAAAATCAAAAATTCAAAAAATTAATTTTTAGCCAAATTTTCTAAGACCAAGTTTGACATGATTGAAAAAAGACAAAAAATCAAAAAATCACTATCCTATTTAAGTCGCATCATCTTATTTAAGTCACATCATCTTTCTAACACATCACTTCAAACCCAACCCAAACCCAACCCATATTTCATAAAAAGTCAAAAAGTACATTTATTTAGTCTTCCCAAACTAGGCCTAAATACGTCTAAAATAGCCAAACAATAAAAAACTAATTAAAAAAAAAATCTATTACCAAACGACAACTAAAATAATCCAAAGTTGTCTAAAAATGTGACATTTTTTTCATAAGAGGCCAAGTTTGGCTAACCTGAAAAAATGCACTTATTTCATCTTTTTATCTTTTTTGAGTCACATCAATCAACATCTCCTCTCTACTTTTTCTACATATAATACAAAAAAAATCAAAAAATACACTTATTTAGTGTTCCCAAACTTGACCTAAATAAGACTCCTCCCCAATGTAATCATCATTCACATTCTTATCCTATTCGTTTCAAATATTGAAATCATGACTATCTAAAATTACATTCCCAACCTCCCATTCAAGAAGTGTGAAATAGTAATTCAAAATAAACAAACCTACTCTATGAGTAATTTATAAGAGACCAAGTTTGACTAACCTAAAAAAGTGCACTTATTTCTTCTTTTTATCTTTTTTAAGTCACATCAACCAACATCTCCTTTCTACTTTTTCTACACATAATAGAAAAAAAATTAAAAAATACACTTATTTAGTGTTTCCAAACTTGACCTTAGACTCCTCCCCAATGTAATCATCATTCACATTCTTATCCTATTCGTTTCAAATATTGAAATCATGACTATCTAAAATTACATTCCCAACCTCCCATTCAAGAAGTGTGAAATAGTAATTCAAAATAAACAAACCTACTCTATGAGTAATTTTATCTTCCTAAGTTGGCGGTGTGTCTAATCAAAGAGGTCTAATATGGAGCGAAAAACATACAAATAATGAAAAAATGACATGACACAATTGAATAAACAAATGGCAATATAGCATAATTTCTGGTACACTACACAATCCTACCAAAGGCATAGCAATTTGCTTTAAAAAAAGAAAAAGAAAAAGAAAAAAGATAAGAAAAAAAAAAAAAAAAAAAACCCAATGCCGCAATCAATCAGCTTGGTCATTGGTTAACTTTCTATAGACTCTAATGTTAACAAGAACAAAATTAGAGCTTCAGAATTCCAGTTGATTAAGCGATTGCAACCTTCAAAAATGCTTAGAAGTCCCAAAAATTCTATCAAAAGTTCTACCAAATGTCTCACATGGGTGTGAGACCTAGGACCCACATTGTGTGAATCTTACACCCATATGAGACATTTGGTAAAACTTTTGGTAGAATATTTAAAATCTCTACCATTACACTTCAACCTTTCCCTGTAATGCAATTTACCCATCCTTGTATGGGAAAAATAAAACAAATTTTAAGGAGTTGGGACTTGGGATCTACCTGTTTTAACATCAAAAAGTGTGTTCAACTAATTAATCACATTTTCACCATTCAAGCATTCAACACATACACCACAATTGACAAATAGATAAGAGCACTAGATTTGAGCACAATTTCAGTTTCTTGTAAACCCTAGAAATCACATAAAAAAACACACATGGTCGATACATTTCCTCACCTGAAGCTCAATTTTCTGCACAACGAAACTGAAGAAAATCAAACCAATTGCAACAATAATAACAGTACAATTTAAATTTAAAAAAAAAATTAAAAAATTATTTTTCATTTGTAGTTTAAAGAAAACCCTAAATTGATACCACAAAAGCAGAGAGAGCCAAACCTAAGACGAAGCCGACGGAACCCCGGCGAAGAGCGCCCCCGTGGCGCCTCCGGACTCTTCATCGACAAACAGATCATCAGTCTTCCTAAACACGGCATGAATCAAGACAACAACAACTCCAATCAACAACGAGATCACTATATTGAGAGTCGCATCAGTCAACAAGAGGAAAACGATCGTGAGCACCGATAACACCACCATCACGATGCGGTCGTCGATCGTACGGTTGAAAATCACCCACGGCTCGTCTCTGAGGAAGTAGAGGAAGAGCCAAACGGCCATCATGATGATGAAGACAATCAGCGAGATCGGGTGCCATAGGAGGCTGAGGAAGAGGATGAGAAGCACGATGATCGCGTAGTTCATGCGGAAGTAACCGAGATTCGTTCTGATCCGTCTGAATGCGTCTCCGAAGCCTCCAGGGAGTCCGATTGAATGGAGATTCACCATCTCCTTCCATGGCCGACGAGCTCCGAGGCCTGATTTCAATCTCTCCTTTGCTCGAGAGATATACTCTAGGTTTGCACTTCCCGGCGATGATGATGTCGGAATTGTACCGTAATTCGTCATTTTCCGGCGCTTCTCCGGTCAACTGAGGTCACTGATTTCTCTCTCTCTCTCTCTCCACCTCTGTGATGGTTTTGGATGAGAGAGAAGATATATGGAGAATTATAAAAGCAACAATGATACATCCCACTAATTTGAGAGTACTAATGAACCACTAATAAGGTGAAAATTTAAAAAAAAAAAGAAAAAAAAAACTTAAAATCAAAACATCACATCAATCAGTGTGACTCACTCTCTAGAGCTCCCAATCATTTTTCTTATAAAAGGGCGGTGTAATAAGGAAAAATGCCTAAGACCCCAGTTGGGGGTGCTGGGGGTCGTGCGTGTAGCCCACTGATTGAGCCAAAAAAAAATTGTCTTTTTTTTTTTTTTTTTTTTCAGCGAATAGGGGGTTGCCACGTCACTGGGGTTCAACCCCCACTGGGGAGATAAATCACGGCCCGTGTAATAAGAGTATCGGTATCAAACTAATTAAAATCGTTTTTTAGCTAAATTAGTGATATTGTTAATTAAACATGGACGAACATTAGTCTCGCTATTGTTCATTGTTAATTTACAAATGTTATAGGACTTCGATATAACAAGTGAGATATTATTCATTACTACAACACGAAAGTTAGTGTTATCGGATATCCATCCGAAAGTCTGGCTAGACGTTTGGCCAGTCAACGGTCAATTTTTTTTTTTTAGCTACTTTTTTAAGAATTGTTTGATTGGTAATTCATCAATTTAAGAAAAAAAAATAAAGAATAACAAACATAATAAGAAAATAATATTTTAATAAAATTAAATTAAAATAGAGAGTTTGATACAATAATTTGTTAATATAAATTTCAGAACATAAACCTTACACTTTGGATCATTTACCATGTGTATTATCAAGAAATCAAGACAAAATGTCATACCTGAATCCATTGATGAACGGTTAAACGGAAGCGTGATTATCAATGAACTCTTTGTTATTGATTATGTTATTGCCTTCTAATCATTTCCCCTTTGGTGCCTTATGTTTCTCCTTGAGAGGATTTAAAAAGAAAAATGACAGTGTTCTTATTTTTACCTGGGAAGAAATAGGGACCATAACCTTTTAAAGGTTGTAATTGGTTTTCAAAACTGAAAGGTAATGTCGACCCCATGTGAGGGCACAGCAGGTTGCTGTGCCTTTAAGGCACAACATCCCTAGGTCCATTTCAATTTTGTGAGGGAACTTTTAAATTTCTATTTAATTATGAAAAATTATAATTATTAAATGATGATAGTTTGAAAAAATTTGACTTAATCTCGAAGGCTTTTTAAAATATAATTTTTTTAGTAATACTAATGGTTTAGATTTATTTTGAGAATATTATTTTTTAAATAAAAGATATACAAATAGAAGAAAAAAAATTCCAATTAACTTATTGAATAGTATATTAAAAGATTATATTTTATTCCTAATACATGCATTGCATATTATTCATAATACCTGTAACAGTTCTGCAGAAAAAAAGTTCTCAAAGTTAAAATTGATAAAATAGTATTTAAAATCAACCATGTTACAAAATTGATATTATCAATAGTATGTCCTAAAAAAAAATTAAAAATATGTGCTTATCATGTTTTGGCTTTTTAACGGAAAAAAACACAAAATATAAAAAAGTACGTTTGGCAGGTTGGTTGGGTTTTTTTTGTTAGTTAAAATAGTAATAAATAAATAAATAAATAAAATAAGCCAAAAAATTAATAAGACAAAATGTTATATCCAAATTATAATAATTATTTTTTTTTTTACAAAAATTAAAAAAGTTAAAAAAACCTAACCCAAAAGAGGTTTTTAGCCCTAGGTGGTTTGTTTTTTATTCACATTAGGTTTTCTTGACAATTGGCACATGTTTATCACCACAACATGTGTGTGTAATTCTGCCAAGTTTTAATCATGTCTTTGGACCGATAAATACCCGCATGAGATACACAGACATGAACTTCAAAACATTCCATATAAAACAATCTAGACAAGAGAGATCACTTTTGTGACATCTTGTTTTAATTGACTTATATTTAGAACGTTTAAAAAATTAAATTTCACCTGTAGACGTTGTATGAAATTACTTTAAATTTAAAGATTTCTTAATGCGTTACCCCGTATATATTATATAATTTTGCAGTAATCAATTATATACATATATATATAATTGACGGTTCCAAAAAATAGTTTTTTTTTTGCCACAAATCACATGCATGAATAGATTATTAAAATGCCAAAGACCAAGCCACAAATCACATGCATGAACAAAGACCAAACCACTTCTTTATTGTGAAAATAATAACACAATGGTGCTTTGTTTCAAACACCCCGAAAAAACAACGCAGACGGAAAGTTTTTTTTTTTTTTTTTTTATGATGTTCAAAATTAAACCGATCAAATCTCGCAATATATATATATATATATAAATACATTATGTTCATTTATTTGAGAGAAAAAAAAAAAAAACTGCCCACCGAATCATTTTACAATTCCGGAAAACAGATTGCCATTTTCACAGAACAAAACAGGAAAAAACATAATTTACATCCATAAGAAAATTCAGAATTTGATTCCAGGAAACTAAATAGAATGAATAAAGCATATTAATTCTGATAAGACACATGATATGTATGCTCTAATACCAATGGTTAACATAAATTTCAGAACATAAACCTTACACTTTGGATCATTTACCATGTGTATTATCAAGAAATCAAGACAAAATGACATACCTGAATCTATTGATGAACGGTTAAACGGAAGCGTGATTATCAATGAACTCTTTGTTATTGATTATGCTATTGCCTTATAATCCTTTCCCCTTTGGTGCCTTATGTTTCTCCTTGAGAGGATTTAGAAAGAAAAATGGCAGTGTTCTTATTTTCACCTGGGAAGGAATAGGGACCATAACCTTTTAAAGGTTGTAATTGGTTTTCAAAACTGAAAGATTGTGGAAGTTCAAAAGGAATGAAAACCAACTTTAACCATTATTGCTTTTAATTTCTATTTATTGGTTTTCAAAGCTGAAAGGTTGTGGAAGTTCGAAAGGAATGAAAACCAACTTTAACTAATATGTTTTAATTTCTATTTCTGCCCCTCATAGAAATAAAAATTATACAACTAGTATCTACACATTAGGTCCATAACACATATACCCTTAAGCCTATTAACTAAATTGAATCACTTAAATTGTAGGTTTCTTATAAATAATAACACCACATTTAATTATGTGGTCCCATTGAAACATTATCTAACATAATAAGTATTAAAGAGGTGACTAGCTAAAATAGTAAAATAGTTTTTTTAGCTATAATTTGACTAAAAATTTGAATAAGCTGATGCGGATGCTCTAAAAGAAAGAGATAGATGTCACGCACTGAATAATTTGAGTAAATTACAAATACATTTATAAAATTTATTTCAAATACATATTGTTCTCTGTAATTTAGAAAATTATAAATATCTTTTAATCAGAATATTTTATTTAAAAAAATTAATTAAAAAAATAAAATTTATAACTACTTTCTTAAAATAATAAAATTAATTAAATTATTAATTAAAAAATATATATTTAATATAATTAAAATTTTTAATTAATTTGATAATTTATTAATAAAAAAATATAATTTATTATGAAATTAAAAAGAGAAAGGAGAAAGGGCGGGTATAAGAGAGGGGGATGAACGTCACGTCAGGCACTGGGATGTCGGCCAAAAAAAAATAAAATAATAAAGAGTAAATTATAAATATATTTTTTAAGATTTGTATAAAATATATATTGTCCCTTATAATTTGGAAAACTACAATTGCCCTCTTATCAAATTTTTTTATTTAATAGAATTAATTAAAAAAAATTCCTAACTACTCTTTTATACAACAATAAAATTACATGAATTATTAATTAAAATATATTTTTAATATAATTAAAATTTTTAATTAATTTGATGATCTATTAATAAAAAAGACAATTTATTATAAAATTAGAAATATTAGGGAGTAAAATATAATTTTCAAAACTAAAAGTGTAATTGGGAATGGCAACAGGCCGGGATGGGGTCGAAAATTACACTCCCCGTCCCCGATTCCTAAAGGTATAAAATTCTCAATTCTTGCCCCGATCCTTGGCGAAGAACCCATCACACCCCGCCCCTGCCTCCTAATGGGGATCAGGTTTCCTAAACCTTGAAAAATCCTGACCTTTTTTATTTTTATTTTTTGAATTTTGCATATCTCATTTTATTTATTTATTTTTTTAGGCAAATAAAAAATAAAATATATAACAGCATAATTCAGTAATGTCCAATCATAAACATCTAAACAACAACAACATGACAAACAAGATACAAAACAACACTTACATCACAAAGAAAAAAAAATATATGTATATATATATAGGAGTATAATAGTAATTTCAGTTCGGGACGGAAAAGGGGCCGGGGGAAGGAACCTATCACCGTCCCCGGTCTGAAAATTGTTGGAGATTCATTTTCGAATACCATCTCCAACTCGTTAGGAATATTTTTTAGGAAAAAACTACTCTAATTGAGATCTAGAGGGTCGGGTCCCGTTGACTTGGGTTTAAATTGTCATCTCTAAGTGTAATTCATATTTGGAATATGTTTGGGTCCCCCATAAAAGAGGACCTCCACGACTCTCATTGATGTATTGATCATGGATGTGTTTGAATATTTTTTTAGAGTTCTACATGAATGATTCAGATCATTTTAAAGGTTGTCGGGGTCGTGTTTTGTGAAGTCTTTATCATCACTGTTTATATTTTAAGCAAATTTTATGGCTACTTAATTTACCATAATTAGGTTTGGTTTGGGAAGTGGATTGATTTTTTGGCTTTTTGACTTTTTTGGTTATTTTAGCCTGGGCTAAAAAGCTTGGTTTGGGAAGGACTTTTTGACTTTTTTGAATTTTTTGTGAGAGAAGAGTGTAATGAGTATGAGTTGAATGTTATGTTTTGTTTTTTATAGCTAAAATATTCAAAAAAGCCTCAACCAAGGCTTCCCAAACGAAGCCTTAATAAGATTAGGGTTTTTTAGTTGTACAATAACCGGTCAATGCTATTGGACAC